TGGAACTTATATAGCACTGTCAATTTACGCAGCGCTTTTACACATATATATTGAACATTCACATCAGTCCCTAACCCTCAAGGGATGTACAATCTAAGGTCCCTAACTCACATTCATACATACACATATTAGGGCCAATTTAGACTGTATCCAATTAACCTACCAGCATGTCTTTGGAGTGTGGGAGGAAACCAGAGCATCCAGAGGAAACCCATGCAAGCACAGGGAGAACATGCAAACTCCATGCAGGAGGCGCCGTGGACGGGAATCGAACCCATGACCCATTTACTGCAAGGCAGACGTGCTAACCACCTAGCCACTGTGTTTTTTTAGGACCTTTAAAAAAAATAATACTCAGATATGTATGGGTCAATAAAAAACCAAGAGTTAATATGAAGTTTTATGCAGTAATAAAAAAAGGGGGATTAAATGATAATGATAATATTTCAGGGAAATGTATAAATGATAGAAATGCAGGTTTAAAAGATATTGAGGATAAGGAGGTTTTATGTGTTCTTTACAGGATTTAAAAAAAGGAAATATTTTTTACACTGGATGAATGGAGGTATTATCAAATAAGACATTTTGTTGCAAAGCTCCCACAACCACTAAGGACCGAGGAACAAATGTATCCTTTAGAGCAATTTTTAGCTCAAATAGAATACAAAAACATGCTACCTCTAGGATTTAAAAAATCCTTACTGAAATAGATGGACCGATATCCCAAATGTTTGTAGATAAGTGGGAAATTTAGCTTGGAACAAAACTGAACAAACAACAAAAAAATAAAATGTTTAGACTAATACATGGGGTGGTGAATATGAATATAGTTGAAATTAATTATGAATGTCTAGTAAGATGGTATATTACACCTAACGTGATGCATAAGCTAAGGCCAGAGGTCTCACCCCAGTGTTGGAGATGTGGGAGTAAGGGTACAATATCACATATTTGGTGGGATTGACCTAAAATGCAGGAGTTTTGGAGATAATTCAATATTATTATTATACAGGATTTATATAGCGCCAACAGTTTGCACAGCGCTTTACAATATAAGGGAGACAGTACAATTACAATACATTTCAGTACAGAAGGAATATGAGGGCCCTGCTCGTGGAGCTTACAATCTAAAGGAAGAGAGACATTGACGATTAGTGTACTGTTAGACCTGTGGGTTTGTCTATTTTACAAATCAGAGATCGGCAGTGAAGCAATATAAAAAATGCGATACTGTTCCATCTTTTAAATGCGGCCAAACGCCTTATTCCTAAATACTGGCAAACAAAAGAGACCCCAAAAATAAAATATTGGACAGATAGAATCGAGTATATATACAAGATGGAAGAATTATTATATAGATGATGGAAAAATTAAAAAAATTCTGGGAAGGATGATATAATTTCAAAAAAAAATCAAAAATATACCTAGAAGTGGTTGGAGTGTAATGGAAAAAGAAAATAAATGGTAATAGGAATAAGAGTATGGGAATGATAGGAGAGAAAGAAAAGGATAAGAGGGGGAAAAATCAGATAGAACAATAGAAGAACAAGAAGTAAATGGAAGGATTAAGAAGATTAGGGGAGGTGGGTGGGTGGGGGGGTAAATAGGGCAAAGGGAAAAGATAATTAACCATCTCAATACCGGGCACTTTTACCCCTTTCCTGCCCAGACCAATTTTCAGCTTTCAGCGCTCTCACAATTTGAATAATAATTACTCATGCAACACTGTACCCAAATGAAATTTTTGTCCTTTTTGTACACAAATAGAGCTTTTTTTCGTGGTATTTAATTAGCACTGGGTTTTTTATTTTTTTTTTGCACTGTAAATGAAAAAAGACTGGAAAATTTGCAAAAAAAAGAAATTTTTTTTTTCGTTTCTGTTATACAATTTAGCAAATTAGTCATTTTTCTTCACAAATTTGGCCCAAAATGTATACTGCTACATTGCTTTGGTAAAAATAATCCCAATCAGTGTATATTATTTGGTCTGTGTGGAAGTTATAAAGTCTACAAGCTATGGTATCAATCACTGAAAATTGAATACACCTGATCAAACCTGAAGTACTGACTATCTCATTTCTTGAGACACACTTTTTAGAAAGTAGACATTCCAAGGTATTTAATAAGATGCATGGTGAGTTTTTTGAACCTGTAATTTTTTTCCCACAATTCTTTGGAAAATGAAGAAAGTAAATAAAATTAGTTTTTTTCACACAACTGTTATACTAACAGGTTATTCCTCTCAAACAACATATGCATACTTGCAGCTTCACCCCAAAAACACATTCTGCTGCTCCTCCTGAGTATGGGGATACCACATGTGTAAGACTTTTCCACAGCCTGGCCACATACAGACACCCAACATCCAAGTAGGACCTACAGGCGTTCTGGAGGCATAAATTACACATTTCCTGACTACCGATCACAATTGTGAAGGCCCTGGAGCACCAGGACAACGGAATGACCCTTGGATGCCTGCCTATCTTCTGGGAGTAATGCGCTGCTTGTACTCACCACTGCATTACTGGTGGATGCCTCCTCCTCCTCAGATCTCCTGAACCTTTCTGTTTGAACTCTCTCCTCCTCAGAATCCATTGCTGACCCACTGCTTTCAATTGGCTCATACACAGAATCTGAGTCTGACAGAGAGAGTTCCCCGCTACTCTCGTCCGTTATACTCAGTATCTGGAAAGCCTCCTCGCTGGTGTATAATTTTTTAGACATTTTGATGTTCACTGGTACAGATGTTTATCATTGGTACAGATGTTGATTTGACACTGGTACACTGTGACAAATATTGAGCACTGGTAAACTGTGACAGATGTGGTTTTGACCCTGGTAGGCCATGACAGATGTTGATCACTGGTACAGAAGTGGATGAGCACTGGTACACTGTACAGATGTGGATCACTGGTGCAGATGTGAATTTTACACTGGCACATCTAACAGATCTGGATCACATTTACAGATGTGGATCATTGGTACAGATGTGGATGATCACTGGTACACTGCGACGGATGTGGATCACTGATGCTGTGTGACAGATGTTGATCACTGATACTGTGACATATGTGGATCATGGGTACTGTGACAGATGTGGATCATGGGTACTGCGGCAGATGTGGATCACTGGCACTGTGACAGATGTGGATAACAAATGTGGATCACGGGCACTGGGACAGATGTGGATCATAGATGTGGATCACGGATACGGTGACAGATGTGGATCACGGGTACTGTGACAGATGTGGATCACAGATGGGGATCACAGGTACTGTGACATATGTGGATAAAGTGTATGGTGACAGATGTGGCTCATGGGTACTGTGACAGATGTGGATCACAGATGTGGATCACGGGTACGGTAACAGAAATGGATCACTGGCACTGTGACAGATATGGATCACAGATGTGGATCACTGGTACTGTGACAGATGTGGATCACTGGTACTGTGACAGATGTGGATCACTGGTACGGTGACAGATGTGGATCACGGGTACGGTGACAGATGTGGATCACGGGTACGGTGACAGATGTGGATCACAGGTACTGTGACAGATGTGGACATGGGCACTGTGACAGATGTGGACATGGGCACTGTGACAGATGTGGATCACAGATGTGGATAACAGGTACTGTGACAGATGTGGATAACAGGTACTGTGACAGATGTGGATAATGGGTACTGTGATAGATGTGGATCAGGTGTACTGTGACAGATGTTGATCACTGGCACTCTGACAGATGTGGCTCATGGGTACTGTGGCAGATGTGGATCACTGGCACTGTAACAGATGTGGATCACAGATGTGGATCATGGGTATGGTGGCAGATGTGGATCACTGGTACTGTGACAGATGTGGATCACTGGCCTTGTGACAGATGTGGATCACTGGCCTTGTGACAGATGTGGATCACAGGTACGGTGACAGATGTGGATCACGGGTACGGTGACAGATGTGGGTCACGGTTCTGTGACAGATGTGGATCACAGTATGGTGACAGACGAGGGTCATGGGTATTGTGACATATGTGAATCACGGGTACGGTCGGGCAGACATACTAGCTGGCTACTGTAGGCATCCTGTCAACATTTTCTAAATGTTTTTAGTTGTACAATAAAGCTTTTTATTTAATTTACAAATTCTCTTTGCAACTGGTTTGGATATGAGCTGTTGAATACATACTTTATATAAGCAGAAGTGCCATATAGGATTGTTATAGCCTCATATTACAGGATTTTTAGGTGGAGTTTTAAATGTATGTTTTTATGATGATTTGGGAGTATTTTATTGATTGGCCCAATAATGCCTCTTACACGGCAAGTATAGATTGTTTTCATTGTGTAAACAACCTAGCATTTGTCATTTCTTTAAGGGTAAGAATTGATTGTAGATTCTCCATGAAAGTACTGATGGCCATTAACATTATGGATTGCCAGTTTTTTTTTTCAAAGCTGTACCTTTGTCCTGGTAATCATTATCACTTGATGTGAAGACTGACACCACAGAGGTCAGGTTCTGCCCATTGACATTTACCAGCTGAGCCTCTCTATTATTGTTCTCACAACAATGTTTAATGTGATCCTATTAATAAAATTCACATTTCACATCAAGCAAAAGAACACGTGACTGAACAGTGATACTTGGCAGGAAACAGAGGATTCATATATAACTACAAATATGACTTCCCCATATACATATTTAATTACAAACTATATGGAGAAACACGGTTTTATTTTATTTCAATACACATGGATTACGTTATTTAAAATAGATCAGAACTTAGTCACAAAAATCTTATATAGTCTTTACTTTGTAATGTAATTTTAAAATTTGCTTTCAATCTTTTTAGATAAGCATTTTTTATTAGCATACTAAATATCTGATGATCCTACCATTACGGTCTCTGTTCAGGAAGTTCTGTTTTGTGGTCACGTGCGCTCTTTGTGGAGACTATAAACAGCTGTGCTGCAACAGATTGAGAAGTTGATGTGTTACTAAACCCACAACAGTAAAATCAGTCTATGCAGTAAAGCATGCTTGTTATACTTACTATGGGTCCCAAGGGGTTAATCTTCTGCATTGTGTAAAAAGGCTGTTTGATCCTGTCTTCTCTGATCCTCCCCTTCTTTCTCAGTGTCTCCTAAATATTTCCTGATGGAACAGAGGCTCGGGGGCAAGCTGTACATGTTCATTTTGGTGTGTATTGCAAGAGAGTTTGTTTTTTTTCTTGGAAGAGTGCATTTGATCAGCACAGGGCCAATTAGCACTCTCCAAACAGATGTCAGGGATCCTGTATCCTCCTACAGGAGAATGATAATTCTTCCTACATGCTGTAACCAGTGCTCTGCTGGACACCGACAGAAGTCACAAGACTGCTCTAACTGCTGAAGAGAAAAAAGGTATTTAGCAGTTTATATTTACTAAAATAATTGCATTTCCATGTTCTGTGTACTGTGGGAGACCAGATATAGTGAATGCAGGGTTCAGGGTTTAGGAAAACTTTAAGGTCCACCGCTGTCATTGAAGTCCATAAATGTCCAGAACAATGTACAGCCTGAAAACCAGTGGATGTGAGGATCTGTGGGGGGCGGAATATTGGAATCTTTAGATTGTAAGCTCCACGAGCAGGGCCCTCCTATTCCTTTTGTACTGAAATGTATTGTAATTGTACTGTCTCCCTTATATTGTAAAGCGCTGTGCAAACTGTTGGCGCTATATAAATCCTGTATAATAATAATAATAATAATAATCTGAATTTTAGAAAGGGTCCAATGATGTAGATCCTACGTCAGTCACGATAAACAAAACTGCAACATGGGGATCTGTCAACAGGACAATGCTGCTGCTACTCCTATCACAAAGACATGTCTGTGGTACTGCTGAAATGTAAAAAAGGAGTCAGGGGAACCAGGTTGACATCATCGACCAAATATGGCCATGACCATATTTGATCACTGTTATCTTCGGGGGAACCCCAACCACTTTTCTTACAAACCAAAAAAAGCCATTGAGTAACTGTCATTTAGTGACAGTCAGTTTAAAGGACAAAAGAGAAAACAATCCTGCGCTGCCAACATAGCTATAATCCCCCCAAGTGGCCGCAGACACCTAACTATATTCCAAAATAGTGAGATCAATAGGTAAAATGAATTAGTGCTGCACTACTCAGTGCATAAATAATAAATGGACATATAAATCAATAAAATAGAAACATAAATGCACATTTGACCCTCATCCGAAAGTGAAAACAACAAATGCTGACAGCAACAAGTGCAGAAATCATTAACAAAAATGGTAAGTGCAGACAATATCAAACATCAGTAAAGCAACACAGTGTACTTGTGATATACCAGTGACTAGGTGAATAACAATTTTGTAAATATAAACAATAAATTATGAGGAACAAAACGTGACACAGAGAATACATCCCAAAATGAATAGTAACAGTCCCAAAAACAGGAACACAGTGAATCTTCAGCATAAACCGTGAGACATCCAGAGATCAAATGTAATCAATCAATCCTCTACCAGCTAGCATGTACGCTCACCTCCAAACTGCGACCAGCATGGGGTCATAAAGCATAGAGAAATCCTCAAACGATGATCTCAAATAAATGGTCCTTGATAACAATCAAAGAAAACGGGGGTCCTCTCTAGTGACGCTGGCAAACACTCACAGGCGTACCTCAGATATGGCCACAGACCTCTTTCAACCACTTGCCGACCACAGATAGCCGAATGGTGGCTTCACTGCGGCCAGCCAGTTCTGGGAGCGCGTCATGTGACATCCTCCCAGAACACGCTCTCCTGTGCGCCCCTGGGGGTGCACACCCGGCGATCTCTGTGATCGCTGTGTCCTATGGACACAGCTGATCACGTGATGTGGTAAAAGGCCAATCACAGTGGCCTTTTAACACGTGATCAGTCGTGTCCAGTGATCCAGTCGTGATCACTGATTGCCGGTTATCAATTTCTAAAATATTAGTGCAGAGCTAAAAAATGCCTGTCATAAATTCCATAAATGCATGTGACTTAAACGCATATGTGAGTAAAGTGCTGAAAGTGCAATATTAATATAACTAGTTCAAGATGACATAAAATGCAATAAAATAAGTTCATCAGAGCATTCGTGAATTTAAAACGTCTCTTGTGCAAAGATATCAGCTGAAGAAATTCCTATGATTGGCATGTGAAGTTATCCGTGAAGAGTAACTGTGCAAAAGCTTGTAAAAGGAAATCCACCCTTGGTACGGATGTACAGTCACCAGACCATAAATTATAATGTGCATTGATTATAATACATCGCACATCTGGGGGTGCAGCAGTATGCTGACAGCTACAGGGTCATCCGTCAGGGTGGGTGCCTGGTGGTCCTGGGGGGAATTAGCTCAACCACAGAAGCCAGAAAGGTGCTTATGGTGTAGTATTTTATTTAAGGTAATATTAGCAAATAACATAAAAACGTATACACGTGGTGTAATAAAATAAATAAATGAATAAAGTACCAAAATGGCCACCACTCATCAGTAGCAGTGGCTAGAGGTAAGCAATAGGGCTCCACCCAACGTGTTTTGTGTAATAACACATCCTCAGGGGTATACCCAATTGTCAGTTATCGACTGCACATTCCTCATGCTGTCACAGCATGAGGAAAGTACTGCCGAGAACCGGCAGTTGCCAGAGGAGGCATCAGCACCGATCATCAGGGCACTGATGATCAGTGCCCTGATGATCGGTGCCCATCTGTGCCACCCATCTGTTCCCCTCAGTTCCACCCACCAGTGCCCATCAGTGCTGCCCAGTAGTGCCATCAGTCAGTGCCCATCAGTGTCCCCTATCAGTGCCCCTCATCAGTGCTGCCTATCAGTGCACGTCAGTGTCACCTGTCAGTACCCATCAGTGCTGCCTATCCATGCCACCTCATCAGTGCCGCCTATCAGTGTCCATCAGTGCTGCCTCATCAACGCACATCAGTGAAGAAGAAAAATACTTTTTTTTTGCATGGTTTTTATTTTCCTACAAATGGTACCAATTGCAATGGTTGTTTGTAACATGAGCACCTTCTTATCACCTGCCATAGCCCTCCCCCCATCTTTCCCCATTCCATCCACCAATAATGACTGACCCCTGTCAGATCTGTCTGCCCCATTATGATCTAATTCTCCTTCCCCGCTCGATCCTAGTTTAAATACTCCTCCAACCGTCACATAAACCTCTCCCCCAGCACAGCAGATCCCCTTCCATGTGGTATAATATTTTAGGACAGGTTTTCTTAGTTGAGACATCAGGGGTCTTTTTGATGTCTGACCTGCCTTCCATTGAAGCTATTGGAGTGCAGATTGTGCTCCATTAGCTTCTTCCCTGGTCGCATGGGTCAGAGAAAGTGTCACCAGAAACTGGAAGTAAAGTATTACTCATCGTTTCCCAGTTCCTTCTAGCTAGAGAAGGTCTCCCTCCCCTCCACCCAGCAGCACCTACCTTGTGGGAGGGTGATGTTGGGGGGCACTCTGGAGGACACAGAAAACACTCCAATGGCTGTACTGTTGTCATATTGCTTTCATCAGAAAGTCTACAACTGGCTTGTATTTGGCATTGCTAGTAAGAGGGTTAAGGGGCTTGTGCATTTTAATGCTGCCCTTTAGGCTGCATTAAGAGAACCCTCTCCCTGCTAATCAATATTGTTTATTTTTTTTTGCATAGGTACATATCCCCACTGCCCAGCTACCCTTGCCTTTTTTCAGCAAAAGTTTATAAATTGGCCTTGAGATGGGCCAGAAAAAATAACAAGTAGTGATGGGCCGAACACCCCCCATGTTCGGTTCGCGGTCAAACAGTCGAACCTAATGGATGCTCGACTGCGAACTTCATGCAAGTCTATGGGACTCGAACTTGTAAATTCAAAAGTGCCCATTTTGAAGGCTTATATGCAAGTTATTGCCCATAAAAGGAGTATGGCTATGGGGTACTGCCCTGAGGGATATGAATCAGTGAAAAAAAAATTAAAAAAGTACTGTTTTTAAAGGGGCAGTCATTTTTCATTGCTTAAAGTAAAAATATTTATTTATTTAAGTATCATGCGTGGGGTGGGGCCTTAATCTACCTGCAAAGTTGCACATTTGCACAATGTACAGAACCTACTGCAGCAGGACTGACAAAAAAAAAAACAGCATGGGTCCCCCCACTAATGCATACCAGACCTTTTAGGTCTGGTAGGAAGTAAAAATAATTCAATGCCGATGGGGACAAGGGCCTCTTCTCCACAACCTTGGCCCCTGGCCCGGTGGTTTTGGCGGTCTGAAGGCAGGGGATCTCATTAGCATCAGGGTACCCTTTTAAATAAGGGGACACCCTGATGCTGCCCCCCCTTGTGAATGAGTAAGGGGTACTTGTACCCAGGGGCGTTCGAGTCAAACTTACATTCAACTCGAACATTAATCTCATCTGACACAACAAGATTTGGCTCCCAATGACTTTAATAGTTCACCACTATGTTAAACATTTGTGAGTCCTAAAACAGCCTAATTGTGATGTATACAGCAAAGTAGTCATTAGCAGACCAGGGAAGAAACATTGCATCATTGCATCTCAGTTGCTGAGAATTCAAGGTTAGCTGTCTATTCCAGGCTGAATCCTGAATTAAACTAAAAAAGTGGATGCTCATTAAATGTGACCCAAGGGGTCTGGTATTATTTTAAGGGTGTACATGTTAATCAAGAAAAAAAAAGGTTCTTCTCCACGCTTTGTTTTTGTTTTTTTTTTTCCCAAATTTTTCTTTTTTTTTTTTTCTTGATTTTTGTATGGGTTCTCCAATTAACATCTATACTATACCCCGGCTGATTGTTTGACAGTCAGTAAGTATTTAGCCCGTTTCTTGTAAGTGTAGGAGAAGGGTTTTGGTGTACAGATTTCCAGGCAGTTAAATACTGAGCAGGTTTTCTTCTAAAGCATGTTACCATGAATAGGATTTTCCAAGAGGGATGCACTGAGCTTTGTTATTACAGAACCAAAATTAGCTGTAATTGCATGCCTTAAAGAGAGATGTTTTAAAAATCGTATTGGGGAGGTTGAAGATTTCAAGTGTTAGAATGTAAGGAGGCGATTATTATTACAAAAGAATGCTCTTTAATACCTCTGGTAGACCACCATTTGGACTCTGGGTGATTGTGCAGTTCTTTCAATCTGGGATTATCTCACAATAGGGCTCTTGGTGACAGATAAGATTGAGTCTTTGATAGTAATTCTTCATTTTTTATTCAGGAGAAGGCTGAGCCATCTGTGCACAATAAATATTAATAATATATTTTCCAATATAAACTATCATCATTATTATTATTTTCACAGACCTCAGGCAGGTGACTTCAGCCCAATGATCGGTGGCACTAGATTTATGGAAAGATAATCAGGTTTTTTTTTGTTTTTTTGGGGGGGGTTTGCACTTATTAAACAAATATAACAAAACACTTTAAAACATTTATT